CTTTTTGCAATTTATTTTAAATATATTTTCAAAAACTTGATTTTTAGTTTATTGTAAATTTCTCTGTGAATTTTAGTTCAAGTTTTTAAAAACAAAATTCATCTACTATATGAACTAGAACTCTTCGAATTAAAAACAAAAGCGACTAATATAAGTTATTCGATGCTTTTTCACTAGAGATCGAAATATATGTCAACTTGTACGAACAGATTTTCCTCTATAATGGTCTATGTATTAGAATCGTCGATAAGTCAATACTTGGCGGCACTTTTGTCGGATCTATGATAGAATGCAACTTGTTTTGAGTCAGTTCTTCATATGTGAAAGATATCAATACATGTAAATCATTAGATGAGAGAACTGTACTTCTGCAAGCCTATATAGATCATTTTCTATATAAGAAAACTTTATTATTGTATTTCAATTAACCAGACTCAGATTTCAAAAATGTTCAATAAATCATTTAAGATCCGAACATTATGTACTTTACAGATCCTACTAGGAATATTGTGATTTGAAATTTTTATAATCGGTCTTTTTTTCTTACTCTAAAATTGAACTGTTTTTTATTGAAAACAGATTTTACATATGATGAAGCGAATATATACAGAATAATAATTAATAATTTTAGGTAATCCGCATGAACACTGTGGTGATAATGATACAATCGTTGCGATACCTAACCATCAGAATATATTTCTAACAAAAAATAGCAATACTTATAAATTATCTAAATCAACTCCTGATTTCGTTTATGATAGTTGTATAAATTTAATTTCTATGAATCAATCAATAATGTATCACTTCAATTTAAATCATACAAGTGATATTCATCCACGTCATTGTTTAGAATTATGTACAAATTATAAACAAAAATTTGCTCTTCTTAATTCAAATAAATGTTTATGTACAAATATTCGAATGAAAAATAATAACTCTGAAATTTCTACACTTTCAAATTTTGATTGTACTCAAGAATGTGTAGCTAATTATTTTTATACATGTGGAAATACAACCAATTCATCATTATATTCAGTGTACGTAATGCAACTAACATGTCCTCTTGGTAAGAGAATTCAATTCACAACTAGTTCATTCAATATAAAAATAAGAAATGTAACTATTTTTATAGGTTTTCAAGTTAGCGAAGATGAACAACGATGTCTTTATAGTGATTATTTACCAAAGAAAAGTTCTTTTTCAACTGCACAATCTTATTGTAAATCTATTGGAGGTATACTGTTAAAAATAAATGATATTTTAGAAATTCAAGATATAGTACCCAAATCGATGTTAACCAAAAGTTTTAATGAAGAATATCAAGTTTCTTCTGTTTCACATATTTTTAATAATACCATATATTTTTGGATTGATCATACATCTGATATTATGAATAGTGATATCAAACTCTATCGTTCAATTCCAAGATGTTTTGAAACACCGAAAATAACTGATCAAAATTGTATTGTTGTTCGTCGTCAAAATATTTCATTTTTTGATATAATGACTTATGAACGATGTTTTACTGAATCAAATAAATGTTCATCAATGTCTGCTATACCAATTTGTGTAAATCAACATCTAGAATTCAATTCAACTGTCATTCCTTCAACTACCAATGACGATTTATCAATAATATCAGTAAATACAACAATAGATTATTCATGTGACGTTGGTACCGATTATCATTTAATGGATCAATATTGTTATAAAATATCATTTCATGAAACAACTTGGCAAGATGCAAAAACTGAATGTGAACGTGAGAATGCTACATTATTTTTACCTGAAAAATTGATGACATTAAACTTGATAAAATTCTTATTTTTACGTCGACGTAGTTATACATCATCTAGTTTTGCACATATTGGTAATATTTATGATGATCAAACTCATACCATTATGCAAACTAATATAACCAATAATAATACTTTAAGATTTCTACCAAGTTTAAGACGTATTCATACTTCATGTGCTATGACATTCAATGAACATTACACAGAATTAATGTCAACGAAAGAAAAAGAACGATTAAAATTGCAACAAACTGGTTGTGCATATGTTGATCTTCGATCTAACTATGGACCATCGATTTCATGTGATGAAATACCTTGTAATAGACTAGCAACTGTAATATGTCAAAGAGCACCGGTTCAAATAACGCATGCTGTTCTAGCTCAACGATTAGTTTTTTAATACGATGTAAATAAAGTCAAATTAGATTATTTTGAAAAATATGCAAAGTTATTGAATAAATTTTGAATCCTTGCAGAAAAAAAAAATTATTCTTCATATACATATGCATTGAGTTGAAATATATTTTGTGTGATGCTCGAATTAGTGAATAGATTGACCAGCAACAATTAATAGGATCAGTATATTTTCCTTAAGCAGATATATATATATAGGGTAAATTATTCTGGTGCTTCGTTCCTGAATTAAGAAATTTTCTAATTCTTATCCTATATCGATGAATATTACAAGAAGAAAATCATATCCGTTATTCCACTTCATTAGCTATATTGAACTACTTTCTGAAGCTTCATAACATTCAGATGATGATGCATCAAATTTTCAAACATCTACATAATCTGTCGGCACACACTTCACCAATTAGCTTCATTTTTACAATTATATTTGTTCTTATATTTCTTAGATTGAGCACTTGTCATATCATTTTGCTCAATAGCAATAATAAAAAAAAACAAATGACAGACAATGTACGAAAAATAATCAATAATAACAAAGGCAAAAGAAAGCACAACAAATTTCTAACAAAAATAAATATTTATTCGCTAACGATAATATACATGATGTTTTACTTTTTTATGTCATCTCGATTGCAAATCATCATTAAATTTGATTCCACAACATTTAAAAAGAGCAATAAAAACTACTATTCATTAACTACATGAATCAAATAATATATCTAATACAAATGCTTTCTTCAATTCTTTTCTTTTTCTAATACAAAAAAAATGTTAACAATCAATGGAGATCATATTTTACTTTTTGGATTCTTACATTAAAAATATTTAATCAATATATTTTCATTCATTTGTGTATTTTTCTGAAAAGTTGCTAAATATGGATTCTCTTATTGTTTCATCTATATGAACAGAAAAAAATAAACCTCAATAGAAATGTAATGTGTGATGGCATATGAAGTGTATGTGCCTAAAACAGAGGATTCGGGTTTCTATTCTTCGGATATTCGATATCGAAAAACTAAAAATATTGATTTAATAAGTTCATTCAATCGCCTGTCCTCAAGACTTTTGTCAAACCTACGTGTTATCAATTTTAATTTTGAAACTTAGTTTCATGTCATAGTTCTTAGCTTTTATTAATAACTACAAAAGAAATCCTGATTAGTGATCGAAACGAGGAATGGGTATAATCATTGAAGGCGAAGAAGAAAAAGGTAAGAATTATAAAACTATGCATAATCTTGACTATCATGATCGAATTGTATAGTAGAACTAACTTCATTCGTTATTATCTCTATAGAGTTTTTTTGATAATCCTTGTTTCTTACATTTTTAAATGAATTTTTTTTAAATTGACACACGTTTGAAACAAAAGGGACAGAAACAAATGTTTATATGTTTAGACTTTACATTTAAAATGAATGATAATATTTTTTTGTAATGTTAAATACAATAGAAAAACAAGGATGTCTTTTACTTTGTGCGAATATTGATTTTTTTGTTATTGCAAGTGAAAAATTTAATTACACAGTTATTTTTTACTAAAGCTTTTGTATTTTTGGCATGGTTGTTATGGTTTCTTTTTTAAATTAAAGGTATATTGTTTACCAATGGAGCTGATTTGCAAAATTTCAACATGATGGCAATGCCGATCATCTGTTTGCATCTATATCTTTTGAATCATAGTGAATCTGATGAGTTCAATATCATTGTGTCAAATGAGCACTGGGACGAAAGGAATTTGTTAAGAATATCTTGAATATTGTGATGGTCGCGAAAAATTTTTATATAGTTCACTGTACCACGGTAGCCTTGTCAGTTCTAGGACTGTAAAGCAGCAGTAACTGATTTTCAGACTGTTTCATTGGGTATTCAAACTGTAAGCGCATGCTCAAGAATGTAGTTTTTATTTCTTTTAAACTCTAGATTTTCCTGTGCAAGTCTTGATAGAACTCGATGGGACGTTATATTTTGAAACAAAACGAAGCGAGCAATCCAAACAGTTTCTAGCATAAGTGAGGGAAATTTTGAACTCGGCGTAATGTAATGTAGCTGAGTAATCAAAGAAATTTTCGATATTTCTTTTTCAGAAAACTCATATCATATATCCAGTAGTTAGAAGGTACCTTGAATCGGATTTAGAACTGATCAAACAAGGAATCGAGAAATTTTGAGTCGTGACATATAATGCGATCTTGTCATTGTAATACCAGATCACTTTTGCATGTTTAATTTTCTGTTAAAATTGTATCAAATGAAGAAGTTTTGTGAAACATGGTCCGAAAATATTCTTGGAGTATCTTAAATAAAAGCATGGACTTGCTCCTCTAACCTCACAAGTCATGACGAATAACTTAGCAATATTGTCGTCGAAGATACAAACAAATCCTTTATCGTGTTTCAAATTATTAGAAACGAACAAAATAAAACACAAAGATAGTTGCAGATGAAAGTTTCCTATCATAGAAACATAATACTCATAGTTTTGCTATCAAATATCGATGACAAGAATCAAAAGGTCGTCGTTCTTTCTTTTTAGTATTATCAATGTTTCGATACCAAATAATTACAAAACATCTCAAATTTCTTATCTTGTTTTGTACATTTTAGAAACATTTTCAATTTTTTTTTCATTAACCATTTACTTAACTTGTTTTTCATATGATGTTGTACTTAAGACTCATATCTCTTTTGATTATAATTCCTATAGCTCACACAGTTTATAGTTCATATCGTTATATGGGTTGTTATATATACGCATTTTATGATAGTTATTTTATAAGTTCATACATGGAACCAACATTATGTTTTAGTTTATGTCAAACACCAATTATTTATATACAAGCGTCAATATGTCGATGTTCAGGTGGTGGTCTTATGGATTATAATCGAGGTTCAGATAGATATTGTTCAATACCATGCCCAAAGCCAGGTAATCGTCAGGTTCAAACAATTAATACATGTGGTGGTTCCGAAGGTTATTCAGCTTATGTAGAAGAACATTTTTATACAAAACATGCTTATTTATTTAAATATCAAATTCATTTTGCATCATGTCAATTATGGAAGAGTTCTGGTTATTATGATACATTTCAAGTTCAAATAGATGGATCATCTGATAAAACATCATTGAATAAAATGGAACAATGTGCAGCTGCATGTTTTGATCAAAATACGACGACAAAATCCATAGGTAGGAGAAACATATTAAGTGTCAATAATTACGATATAGTGTCTTATATTTATAGGAACCATAATATCTGAGTGACGCATAGTATGGATTCTCTATATTGAAGACAGACATTTTCGGAAACAATTTTCTTATACTCATGAAAGATTGTCTATAGCTCAAAAAAAATCATATTTAAGAAACTCTTGTTAGTGTAGTAGTACTTCTGGGATGGTAAGGTGGAACTCGTATATATCCTTCAGTTATATTAAACCGATGCGAAAGTGGTAAAATGAAAAGTCTTTCGTAACGAGCTGCCTTATATTTTAGATTTGTTATGATGGGGTAAACTTTTTACTAATGTTTATCATGAGGAAGAGTTAGTGAAAGTCGCAAAACCTGTCCTTAAAACTTACACTTACTGTTTTCTTCGAAAATATATGTGAGTCACACAAAGTTTGCGTTCAAAATCTTTGGAAAAGCAAAACTGTCTAAATCGGTTTTTTTTTGCATTCTGTCGAGAACTTTTTCCGAAGAAGTTTAACGCATACAGAAAACAGTTGTGAACAAAATATTTTTTATTGATCTTGATGTTGTCTTCTCTATTCAAACATTTATGACTTTCCCATGAAATGACTTTACTCGATAATTAAAAGGAAATAGTTGTATAACATTTATAAAGAAAATATCAATGACAAAAGTTTGCTTCATGTTTGATATACTAATTGTAAATTATAACATACATAATAACCTACATAAAAAAAAAATCTATACCCAAAAAAAGAAACAAAGAAATCAGCAAATTTATTTTTAGCTTTCAATGATGATAACAATCAATGTTCATGCATTATGCCAGAAAAATTAAAAACAGATTTTCATGAACGTTATTTTTCAATTCTCTCTAATAATACTTGTGACCGATATTGTGATAGCATAATAGGTGATTCAAAAGCTGAACATAGATTTAAATGTGGTTCATTGAACAATTCACGTATATGGGCTGTATATGATTTGAATGATGCCTGTTCGATGCATTCTTTTTATATAAAAGAATTAAAACAATGTATATATACAGAGCAAGGATTTGGAAGTTCATGTTATTCACCATCAATACCATATGTCTATGATGGAAATATAACATGGAATGTCTTTCTTGGAATTATTGAAAAATTAAACTTAACTAAATCTATTGTTTCAATTAATTTTGATAATGCTGTTACTATTGATCCTTCATGGAAATGCTCAAAAACAACAACAAATATCAATAAAATCCAATCGAGTCTTTCTAATACGATTCATTTTAATATGAATTTTAGTACAAATTATTTATTAGATAAGGGTTGTTTACGCGTCGTTTCATATTTACCTTATTCATATAGATTATCTCATAGTTTATGCATAGAAAATCCAATGAATAAGAATTCATTACTTTATAAACCTAGATTTTCTCCTATTTATACATCTACTTATAATAATAGAATGACAACTAATTGTCCAACGAATTGGTTTGATTTGAATGGACATTGTTATCGAATATCGGATGAAGCTAAAACAATTCAAGAAGCAAGAAATAGTTGTATTAATGATCCCATTGCTGAGCAAATAAAAAATGATCAAGAGATTATACCAAATGATGATGATGATGATAATGATGATAAAAAGGAAATGAATAATAAACTCAACACTTATATGAATGATTTATTGAAAGGTGAAATCGCTCAATATACATCACAATGGCAAGCACGTCTTGGCTTTTATCTTCTTGATACAAGTAAAATCTCCGATAGAATTCTGATTGATTTTTGTTCCAAATAGTTGTTTATAAGTTAGTGTATTTGAGTTTCTGATTAGTGGAATAAGTAGAAGTCATTTGCGATTATGCAAGATTTTAGCAAACAACGAAAAGTATAGAATTTGAAGAGTTCAGTTCGATTGCCATGTTGTACATTTATTTACACTACCGCTGATTAGAGCCCATCAGGTAAGACTTGAACCCGGTTATGAATATATTTTTTTGACTCGATGCACTTCCAAAGATGTTGGAACCGACAGGGTGTACCGGCATGTGTAATTTCTGTCAATGGATTATAGATAAGAGACGCATGCGATTGAAGTCGGACAATATATGAAAATTTTCACATAACCAGTATTCTGATTAAATATGTAATAAATGTATATTTAAGTTTTTTTTTGTTTTGAGGACTTTGAATTTTGGAATGAAACATTCAGTTAGGTTATAATCTGACAATAATAAGGTTTCATAAAAAATGTTGGAGGATAATACCGGATATAAATAGCATAAACATAATGTTGGTGTTTTTTTCAATAACACTAAAATAATATTTTCTTAGATGTATCAAATACTCCATCAATACTTCATCATATTGGATTTTTCAACAGCTATCGACAACCAATATCGATCAATGGAATAACACCATCACCACCTATAGTGTTCAGTACACATATACGACCACTAGCATCCAATATTAGTTTAAATTTTTCATCAATAAATGAATTTCAAATGATCAATTCAAATGATAATGAAAATTCAACTATAAAAGATGATTCATGTATAGTTTTCACACGTTTCGTGTTCAACGATAAAAGAAGTTTTATTTTAAAAAGTGTTCAAGTCAATAATTGTTCAAAGCCCAGACATGTTCTATGTAAAACAAAATCAAGACTTAGTTTCGATTTTCAGCAACATTGTTTTCGTAAACCATTAACACTCGGGGTACCAACAATAATATCAAATCGTTTAACATATGAATTATGTGTATCTGTTTGTAAAGGACTACGAACGACATTAGCTGTTATAAATATGAATAAATGTTATTGTTTCGATGGTAATCTTCCAGAGACGCATGATAGGAAATCATATTATGAAAAATATCAAAAAAAAGATTGTGGATATACTTGTCCAGGTATGTTTTAGCGATGAAAGCTTATGTTTTTTTTTTCTTCTTTTGTTGAAACAGTTCAACTGTATTTGAAACTTGTACTACTGAAGGAAAGTCTCAAAATCAGGGTATAACAATAAGAAAGGCGAAAATGAATGATTGAAATTTCTTCATTGACAAATATCTCATTGGCATTGTTTTCGAATCCTAATCTTGATTAAAGTAAACTTAAGTCATAGAAGTGTTGAGTGATCCGATCCTGTTTCTGAAACTACGGATCTGATGGGTTCTATTATGAGTACTATTATTAAAAATTTTCATAATGAATCAATCCATATCTTTTATGTTATTTTGATTATTTTCTTACTCTAAAAAGACGTTGTATCTTTAATTTAAACTTGAGACGTACATGGAATAATTCATAATTTCAGGTAATCAACATGAACATTGTGGTAATGAAAATACAATCGTTGTCTTTGAAAACCCTATTTATATATTACCGTTCACATATGTCAATATTGGAAAACTTGCAACATCAAATGCTGATTTCGCTTATTATAGGTGTATACATTTAGATACTATGAACCAGTCAACATTATATGAATTCAATTTAACTCATGAAAATGATATTCATCCTCGTCATTGTTTAGAATTATGTACAAATTATAAACAAAAATATGCTCTTATCAATTCAAACAAATGTTTATGTACAAATATACTAACGAAAAAAAAAGAAGATACTTTGTTCACACCTCGAGATCGTAATTGTATTCAAGAATGTTCAGCTAATTATTTTTATACATGTGGAAATTCAACCAATTCATCATTATATTCAGTGTACGTCATGAAAACAAAATGTCCTTTTGGTAAGAGAACAAAACTCAAAACTAATTCATTCA